TCGTTGTCTGTCGGTGATTCACACTGGGTTCGATTCCCAGCAACGACAATCCATTATTTTATTTTTTTTTAAAAAAATAAATTTATTTCTTTTTATTTCGTTTTTTTTTATTTTTTTTTTATTTAATGAGTACTAACTATTTTATTATTTGTTCGTTCGTCGTCGTTGGTGTCGTTCAGTTCAGTGTTTCTTTTCCGTCCCTAGTGCCTCCCCATTCGGTATTCTTTGCAGCGTGCTTTCTTCTTTCGTCGTTGGTGTCGTCCGGTTTGGTGGTTTTCTTCGTTTCTGGTGTCGTCCAATTTGGTGTTTCTTGTAGTGCGGCTTTTTCTTTGTCGTAGGTTCGGTGCTTTTTCTGTGATACAGTCTTTCGTCGTTGGTGTTGTCGATTCGGTGCTTCTTTTTTGTCGTTGGTCGTGCTTTTTCAATGTAATCGGCTTTGGTTATGCGTACAGCTAAGTATTTATTTATTTTTTTTCTTCTTTTTTTTTTGGTTGGTTTAGTTTTATTTTCGTGTTTATATAGATATTGGGTTTTTTGTGTTGAATTTTTAGATTTGTAAGTTGTAGTTGGGTTCTAGCGTTAGGAAGTTGGTTTTAAGGTTAGGGTTAGAACTGAGATTAACGTTAAGTGGGAAAAAGGAGCAGGGTGACCCTGTAGGTGTTGTTGAACGTAAACGATATAGCTACGCATAAATCTAATAAAATAGTGTTTAATTTGAATATATCTTGAAAATATGATTTTTGATTTTACAAAGACCATTGTTGAACAACGAAATTATTGAAAACAAAGCCCCATATCTTATCGTTGAGCTTTCGGGCAAGATCATAGTTTGAACCACCTATGAACATCTAGCATCGATTTTTTCAAAATTTTTGCTGGTCAAATAATAATTTGCACACAAATTTTTGATCATTGTAAAGTTATTATTTTTATTTTGTTATAATTTATTGCAAATATCAAGAGTAATTTAGGAATTTATCATAATAGATTAATTTAGTCAGCATTAGCTTTAGTCACATAATCACCTGTGGAGGATTTCTATTGGCTGATTTTTCAAATTCCCATCCTACTGACCTTATTGAATCTATTATGCCGAAATCATTACCGTATTCTCAAATAGTAGGTATGGGCGTTATTTCTAATTTTGGCCAGAATTAAGCTTAATTCGGGCCAAAAATCGAAATAACGCCCATGCTCGCTATTTCGAGAATTTACGGTAATCGAAAAATCATTCGGCCAATTTCTGCTGTAAAAAAAAAAAAAACGAGTAGGCAGGTCATAAAATTTATTTTATGTTATAAAAAAAAACAAGAAATTAACATTGCATAGCATTATTTTAGTTATTAAAAATAATAGTTATAAGTTGATAGTTTTTTTTGTCTTAATGCTAGCTAGAATTAATAGTAATTTGGATATATATAGTAACTTTCTAGGTAATGATGTATAGCGTTGTGCAGCTAAAAGAAGCGAACAGGCAGAATTAATTGTTTATATGACGCGACGGCAGTTATACAAGGCTTCCAAAATTACGGATTGAAATATGGTTGGTTATGCCTGGATTAAACCATAACCAATTAATGCCGTCTCTTGATTCGACGACAAAGAATGATGAAATTAACTTTTTTCGAAAAATCACGTTAATCTCGAAATATCATCTGAAAAAAATTGACCTTTTCGCGTACGTACTAACAAAAAGTTTTTTCAAAATTTTGGTGTAAATCTAATGCTAACGCAAACTCCATGTAAATAATTTCAATCAACAAAGGGAAATTGTACCGTAAAATCTCGAAATAGCGGGCATGGGCGTTATTTCGAAACTTGGCCCGAATTAAGCTTAATTCGGGCCAAGTTTCGAAGTAACGCCCGCTATTTCGAGATTTTACGGGTAAATGCTAATTCCTTCTGTTCCTGTGATCGTGTGACATGTCATACGTCGTACAAGATTTTTCCATAACGATAACAGATAATAATGAGCAACAAAATTTAAGGTTTTTTTCCGTGAAAATGGAACGTCTTGTAAGAAGTTATATGATAACACCAAATGATTCTACTCAAGAGTTTGACTCAATCATTTCTTCGGCTGTGAACGGTAACTTAAATTTTAATCTTAATTTTAGCCGATTTACCAATACTAATAATGTCTTGTTTTAATTAGAATTGCATAATGGTCAAAATTTATTATCGCTTGTTCAATCGCTCGGTGAATTTTTAACCAGTGAAGATTCCGCAATTCGTGCTAAAGGTACTTCACGAAATCTATGAATTCATATTTTTTATAAAATTGATTTGCAGCTACGATTAAGTTTCCCATGTATGTATTATAAAGGCACAAGACTTTTATCTTCAGTGCTTTCAGAATGCCCTCAAGAGCAAATTAACAATTCCGCCGGTATTGTACAATTGCCTTTTAGAATCCATGATAATAGAATCATATGTTTATCACTAACTTTAAATAATCTCCCAATAGCCAACGTGTTGGTAGATTTCTATTGTGAAAGATTATCTGACACAACAAGTGTTCCCGATCTTATCTATGGATTGAGATATCTCCCACAATTCGGAACTTTTCGCGATGAGCATGCAATTAAGGTTTCTAAAGCGTATGTAGTTATTAATATGCATATATATCAATTATTTTAAGTCTTATAACATTAACATTTATTATTCTTAAAATTCAAAATCTATAAGAATTTTTGCAAACATAAATGTTCAAAGTCTTCAGCAGATTGTACGTCATGAAGTGCTTCAAATATTAGATATATTATTACACCATCACCTTCATGGTAAAGCATTTATACTCTAAAATTATATTAATATTTAAATTAGCAATTTTCATATTTTAATTTTAACTGAATTTATATAAGCATTGAAACAGTTAGGGCCTGAATTCGTCTTAGGATATATTCAATCTATGGATGGCGAAAAAGACCCGCGAAATTTGCTATTAGCTTTTTCCTCGATCAAATTAATTATTCAAGAATTTGACATTTTGCCCCATGTTGAGGTATTTATTGTGTATCTGTGATCGTTACGACTATTAGTACTGAATTAATATGGAATGAATTTATTTAATTAGTCACTTTTTGAAGTGACTTTTTGTTATTTTCCCATTACATTTAAACCACCTCCAGATGACCCCTATGGAATTACTGCCGATGATTTAAAAGTCGCGCTAAGGTATTATTGTACTTTGATAATAATTCATGACTATTTATTTACCAAATTGATCTTTCATAGAGAATGTTTATCTGCAACATCACATTTTTCTAAATTTGCGATGCCGTTATTGGTGGATAAATTAGCATCTAGTTCTGGTAATGCCAAGGTGAATTCTGATGTTAATTATTATCATATATAATCTCATCAGATAAGCGTGTTTATTCATCTATAAAGTTACTCTATCTCATTATTACAGAAAGATTCTATGGAAACATTAAAGGCATGTGCACCAGTGTATGGATCGAGTGCTATTATTCCTCATCTTGAAATTTTATGGAATTATTTAAAAGATGAAGTGAGTCAATTAAAGATTTTGGTGTATAAATTAAGATTATTATAAGAATGATATCATTAAAAATTATATTATTAAAAATTATATTAGGTCATCAACGCCACAAATGATTCATTTGAGCTTATTGCTCTCGAAGCTATTCAAAGCATTGCAGAGACTTTATCAGCAGATGGAATAGAAAAATTAGACCATCTGCAACAATTTTTAAAGATTATTGTCACAGAGTGTTTAGAAAACCTCGAAAATTCTGAACTAAAACTAGCCAAGCCTTGTGGAAAGATATTAAAATATTGTGCAATGGCTTCTGGTAAATATGTTTATTAATTGATTAATTGATTAATTGATTGAAAATTACGCGTTGATAATATGAAATGTTTAATCTGCTAAATCCTCTTAGATCCAGCATGTAATATAATTATCTCCGCGACATTGAATAATTTCATAAACCAATATAGAATGAATGATTTGGCCACTCGAAAGAAAGGAATACTCGAAATATTGACAGAATTTATTGCTGCTTCTCGATATCTTTATGGTTCAGTTGAAGATGTTCCAGCTGTCAGAGGTATTAAATGTAATTCATATTTACATTTCTGTTTTCAAATATATTGAATTGTGGTAAATTAGTAATCAATTCTTTACATACAGCCCAAGGTTTTGTAATGCCATTGGTGTCATATAAAGATGATATGTTTGAAATTTTTAGTTCGGCACTTTTAGGAATCAATGAATATAATGAGTTACGACTATGCGGTCTGCAAGGATTGCATGATATGATTTTACTGAATAAATTTCTTTCTGATAGCGAAATAGGAGTAATTCTACAATATTTTAATAAAATCATTCTTGACGAACAAGATCAAGACATTGTGTATGTCTTACCTAATAATAACTATTAGGATTATGTGATGGCTTAACTAATAATTTGTAAATTTTATAGATTGTCGACTTTAAAATGTTTGGAAAATATCGCACATTACAGACCAAAAATTGTATTAGATGTTGCGCTTCCCATATTTGTGTCCAAACTTCCAAATATTGGCGATGCTATAGACAAAGGATCTCATACAAATTATAGTAAAATATTAGATTCGATTTCCAAAATATCAGTTGAACCTATATTATTTGAGGCTTTAGTACCTGAAATTCTTGCAAAATTGGATAATGTCCTTTCACGTAAGTGGAATTGTATCCACATTACTATGGACAAACCGTCACTTTTTTGTTTAACGGCATCTTTGATATTTAGCTTTATCTAGTGTAAATTGTGACTATACTGAAGCCATATTACAAGCACTTCACTCCCTACTTTTAAAGAAATCGTCTTTAGGTCACACTGATGTTTCGCGTTATGTGGATACTATTATACCGCATCTTCTTGCCAGATGTGTAGAACCCACCTTAAATTTTAATTGTGAATCGGAACAATATACAGTATTTTGTGACTTGCGAATTATCCGAGTTGTCGCTGGAATAATTTCTACAATAACAAAGAGTCTAAATGTGAGGTATGTTATTTTGTTATATTCAAAATCTGAGAATTATGTAATATGTATTTATAATTGTATTGTAGCGAACAAACTACGTTTGTCGGCCAAATATTCGAACTATTCACACGAGGAAATACTAGTTATCTTCGATTCTCACTGCCTGAAACAAATGTCCCATTTAATCCGTTATCAGTATGTCTTTAAGGCAATTCTTTAATGTCATTTTATCAAATTGTTTTAAATGTAATTTCTAATTTCTAACTTAGTTAGATTCAAGTTCACACCAGAAGAACCTAACATTATGTTTCACAGCTGCTATAGGATCGATTCGACAAGAGGTATGTATTTAGTTCTGGTATAATGTATTTAGTCTGAATCGTTGAGTTATAGATTAAATCAGAATTAGGTCCAATCTTCATTATCAGATATCTTTGAATTCTTGACAAAGATAGTTGGGATTTGTTTATCTACTCCAAATGAGATACAACAACATTCTTTGGCTCAATTAGCTGCTTCAATATTAAACAAGTGGGACAAAGGTAAGTGACAATGGTTTATTTATCCGTGGTTTAATAATATTACATCTACTAATAGGTGTTAACTTTTAGAACCTGAACTAATAGAATTTGCCCAAGCACAAGTTCTTGGTGAATTGTTAAATCAACTTTCTTCTACTTCTGGATTAGAAACTATTAGATGTAAGTCGTTGTATCTCTTTCTTTGGGTAAGTAATATCATTTCATAGATTGAATTAATTATGCTTTATTAATGCTGAAATGCAAAATTAACGACGCTTTAATTATCAGCTTACCAAGGCGTTAGTGTTACGCACACATCAACTTGGCTATGATTGTACTGGCCAAATTATAAATCTGTTCAGCGATCCTATTTTAGGAAAACAATCTGCTGAAGGAATTGGAATAATTATTGGTGAAAGTGATATCTTAAATCGACAGGGATTTGCAACCATAAAGGTATTCATTCTTTAATTAGTGCTTTAAAATTTAATTTATTTATTATGTACTAATATAAAATCATAATATAGATTCTTTATAAACAACGATTCTTTAATTATTGTGTACCTATAATAATAGAGCGATTCAAGTCTTCGGATGATGGTATTACGCTTTTAAATTTTATTGTCATTAACTCTTTCATTTCCTAAACTTTTTATTAATGTTATTTAGTCACCAAACATAATTATTTGATGGCTTTATCACATTTACTGCGAAACATTCCAAAGCAAGTTTTGATGAACGATCTTCCTTCGGTATGCTATACTTTATTACATCACATCCGTGAATATTATTAAATTATTATTTTTTTTTTTTATTGTTACTATAATTAGTTATTTCCTTTACTCATACACTCTCTATCATTGGCCGATCCCGATTTGAGAGCATCGACCATTGACACATTTTATATTATTTCGTTTGATGCATCACACATAATAGCTGAGCATATTTCTTCGTTAATACCTTTATTATTATCATTAGCACAAATGACAGATATCAATACGATGGTAAAGCAATGCACTAATTCAATGTTACACTTAATTATTATACAATAT